ATGCTTATGGAAATTTTTCGTATTGAAATTTGGAACAATATGACTTTTAAAAACTATCGAAAGATTCAGAAATGTCACAAAAATAAGTTTTAATTGTTTTTTACTGTTTCAATGACTTGTGCACCAACCAATAAAACTTTAAGCCAATGTTTCTGCAAGCTTTCTTACCAAATAGTTTCACGATAGAGTCGTTTTCTAAACCTCATTTATTAAAAATATGGTTTAGTCAATATAAAAGGTTGGATTCGATTGTGGACGACGATTGTCACTTGGCAGCACCTGCAAGCTCGAGAGCCATGTTACAATTTTGCAAACTTTTGGAATCATTTATGCAAGCCGGAAAGCCATCATATGGAAGAACACCCGACACGCGGTGCAAATTGGCATTCAAAAGCAGTGTATCAAAATTTGGAGACCAAGACCTCTAAAACCTTCTGTTCGCCTTGGGCGCTCGCGCTAAGTGCCTTGACTTTGTTAATTAAACATAACGGAGCGCAGCAGAGGAATTCTCAAGTGAATAATTAAACAATAGCAAGTTTCTCAAACTTAATAAAAACTTTTAGAATTGGTTGAAACTTTCTCTATGAAAATGTCACAAATACTACTCGCCGGCCTATATAAGCGCCACGGAGTCGGCGGTACACTCCATCAGACCATCCAAACCAGCGAATCCAGTCCAGAATGTTCTTTAAGCTTATTCATCCAGCTCCTCTCACAGAGCAAATGCGATCCCGGGACGGTTGCATCTACTTGTACAGGGCCATGAAGTTCATCGGCTGGCGGCCGCCCAAGGAAGGTGCGCTGCGATACTTGTACCTCTTCTGGACACTGATGACGTTTGTGTGGTCCACAACCTACTTGCCTCTGGGCTTTTTGGGTAGCTACATGACTCAGATTAAGTCCTTCTCGCCGGGCGAGTTCCTCACCTCGCTGCAGGTGTGCATAAACGCATATGGATCCTCGGTAAAGGTGGCAATAACTTACTCCATGCTGTGGCGCTTGGTCAAAGCGAAGGCCCTTCTTGACCAGCTAGACTTGCGCTGCACTTCCATGGAAGAGCGTGAAAAGATCCATCGCGTGGTGGCGCGCAGCAACCACGCCTTCCTCATCTTCACCTTTGTTTACTGTGGATATGCCGGTTCCACCTACCTCAGCTCGGTCCTCAGCGGGAGGCCTCCGTGGCAGCTCTACAACCCGTTCATCGACTGGCGTGACGGCACTGCGAAGCTGTGGATGGCCTCCACGCTGGAGTACATCGTGATGTCGGGAGCTGTGCTGCAGGACCAGCTTTCGGACACCTACCCGCTGATCTACACCCTTATCCTGCGAGCCCATATGGACATGCTGAAGGAGCGCATCCGCCGACTTCGCTGTGACGAGACTCTCAGTGAGAGTGAGAACTACGAGGAGTTGGTCAAGTGTGTCATGGACCACAAGCTGATCCTGAAGTGATTTGTCCCACTTTAAGGCTTTAAGGCCAAGTTCCTAACAACTTTATTTCTTCGCAGGTACTGTGCCCTTATCAAGCCTGTCATTTCCGGCACCATATTCACGCAGTTCCTGCTCATCGGACTAGTGCTGGGCCTCACGCTGATCAACGTGTTCTTTTTTTCGGACATTTGGACAGGCATTGCTTCCTTCATGTTCGTCATCACCATTCTTTTGCAGACATTTCCCTTTTGCTACACTTGCAACCTGATAATGGAGGACTGTGAGGCCCTGACCCACGCCATCTTTCAGTCGAATTGGGTGGACGCCAACCGACCCTATAAGACAACGCTTCTGTACTTCCTTCAGAATGTTCAGCAACCCATCGTCTTTATAGCCGGAGGCATATTCCAGATATCAATGAGCAGCAACATCAGCGTAAGAGAGCACTTTTTATTTCTTGAAAGTCACTCACCTTTGATCAATCAGAAACTTCTATTTGAAAGAAAATTTAAACTTAAGCTAACAACGCTTTAAATATGTGGTAAAAAGGCTCTAGGTATAATTTTTTGGGAATGCAGTCGACCTGCAATTTTTGAATACCTAACTGTTTTTGTAGAACAGAGTTCTCACTAAATTAGCTTGTTTTTCAAAAACACAAAGGTGAGGGAAATTGTAGTCGCTCTTATAGGGCGACTATCTTATAGTTATAGGGCAGCTATGGGAAGTTATTAACTGCTATTTTTGTTAGAACTTACATTTAAAGGTAGTGCATGCAATGAAAGGGGTATGCTAAAAAGGGTATACTAAATATAAAGTATATAAGTAATATAGATAGACCAAAACCCAACGGACTAGTTTGCACAAATCAGACAGTCTGAATGTTGTTCTCATGGGATATCATCCTGAGTAAAAATATGTAAGTCAATAGATAGTGGATTTTCTGACTTAATTAACAATTAACATTAACAAGCCTGTAAAAAAAGAATTGCTTTGGTATATCTGTATATCCGTATATCTATATGGCCCAATCTTTAAGACAATAGAGGAATTAGCATATTCAAGGAACTTCTAAAATGCAAATAACAAGAAAAGAAAGCTAACTTCGCGCTGAGCCGAGGTCGATACACCCTTGCAGTTAAAACCGGATATATATTGCAAACATCGGATATAGTTGGCCGATCCCTATGAGAATATCATAATAAACCCAATTTATTACAACAAAAAATTTAAAAAAAAAGTCCCTTCTTCCAAATCCGTCTTCAAAAATACCAAATTTGGTATTTTACCCAGTTGGAATTTTTACCCATTTCCGATCGTTCATTTATATGGCAGCTATAAGATATAGTCGTCCGATCGTTTGGTAGGTGGAATCAACCGACCAAAAATATAATCTGTACGAAGTTTCAACCTTCTGTCTTCAAAAGCATGAAAGTTGGGTCATTTCTGATTGTTCAGTTATATGGCAGCTGTAGGATATAGTCGGTCACTCGTTATGAAATTTGGTATGTCCTATTATGTTTGCATCCCGACTCAAAAATTAATTAATCTAAGCACCATTTCGCACCATTTTGTTTGATTCAAAAATATTAACAAGCCACAAAAATATTATATCTATTTACTATATATGTACTATATTTATAGGCTGGAAAATTTATTCAGAATCTGTTTTACGTTAAATTATTTACTTTCTCCTTTTCAGGTGGCCAAGTTCGCTTTTTCAGTAATAACTATCACCAGGCAAATGAACATAGCCGACAAGTTTAAGGAAGAATAATTCAATATTTATAAAAATTAATCAAATAATAAATTAAAAATCAATAAATAATTCTTGTATAATAACTCACAAATTTGCGATTATAAAAGTGAATGAAAGAGTTTGCACAATGTTAACACACAATGTTAATGCACAATGTAAATATTTGCAGAATATTGTGTAACATTTTTATTTTTTATACCCTTGAAGAGTGTATAAAGTATATATATAAGTAAGTATATATGTTGTAAATATATGCTATATAGTATATATATTCTTGATCAGGATCACCTCCTGAGTTGCTATGAGCATGTCCGACTGTCTGTCCGTCTGTCTGTTTCTACGCAAACTAGTCTCTCAATTTTAAGGCTTGACTTGAAACTTTGCATACACCCTTCTTTTCTTTGCACGCCATATATAAGTCGGAACGGCCGGGATCGGGAAAATTTTGCCAAATATAGCTCTCGTGTAAAATTTGAACTCTCTAACTCTAAAAACACCAAAGTTTTACTATTTCCGATCAATCAGTTATATGGCAGCTTAGGATATAGTCGGCCGATCCCGGTCGTTCAGACTTATATACTGCGTGCAAAGGAAAGAAAGGTGTGTGCAAAGTTTCAAGTCGATAGCTTTAAAACTGAGAGACTAGTTCGCGTAGACGGACATGATTATATCAACTCAGGAGACTATCCTGATACTTTATAGAGTCGAAGATGTTTCCTTCACTGCGTTGCACACTTTTGACCAAAATTATAATACCCTCTGCAAGGGTAGGTAAAAGTAGATCCTAGGGTAATTTCAGGCTCCTGTCTCTTAAAAGCTGTCCAAAATTCGCCATCGCAAGTATTAGCGACTGGCTATCCATTACACTACTCATATGCACAAAACTTCACTCCACTTCACTTCAAGTGCCATAAATTTGTTTTTTAAATGGTATCCATTCCAATGAGCTGAGCATCAGAATACCAACTTTCTTGGGATCATCTTCCTCTAATAGCCAATACATCTCTCCGCCGCAGACGAGAACCCCGAAATGCTGTTTGCTTTCCCCTGGTGCGGATTTGGCAATATTTCGTCAAGATCTGGAGGAGGCACTGGATCTCTATTGGAAGGCATCTCATCGGATGATTCAAAAAATCATTGTGGAGGAAATTCAATCAACAGGTTTCGGTTTCAGGAATGAAGGAGACATCTCCGCGAAGACACACATATGGTATAAATATTGTGGATCAGGATCACCTACTGAATCGAAATAAGCGTGTCCGTCTGACTATTTCTACGCGAAAGCTATCGAATTGAAACTTTGCACACAACTTTTCAACACAATTTTCCTACACATTTAATTTTTGGTAAACTAATCCTGATCTGATATATCTGATCTTGACTGCAAGAGCAGTCAAGTGAGAAAAAGTATTACCCCAGTATTAACTTTCCTTTTTTGTTGTAGTTTCCAATTGTGTTGTGCATTAACCAGTTTATTACAGTTTCATACTGCATTTATGCCATTAAAATTACGAGAATGGGCAAAATTAAAAACATGTACTCACATGATGTACATATATGAGTACATAGCTCTATTTTTTTTAGTCTCATACGGCCAGACGGATCGAAATAACTATATAGGCTACGCTGTTGGAGCTGGTCAAAAATATATATACTTAATATAGAACAGAAAGAGGCAACCCCGTTTCATTTCAGCGAAGTCTCGGCGATTTCTTTCTTGTTTCCGCGCATTTATGTGCGCTACCCTAGACAATTTTATGAAAATATGTATTTTAGAAGACAAGCACAGTAACCAAGTGGTTGTACGGTTATACAGTTCCTCTATTCATCGTCTTCTGACTTGGCAAGTTTCTCAGCAATATTCATCTGCTTTACAAGCGTAAACACGGAGAATGAAAACTTTGTGACCTGCAAAGACACGCAATTAAATTTAACGGAGCCTTGAAGGACGAAAGCTTACGCTGATGTTTGTTCCCACGGATATCGGAAACACGTTCATGGCCATGAAGGTAATGGGCTGCTGGAGATTTTGCAGAAAATACAAAAGCGTCTTCTTGTACCGCTTTTCGCCGTCTATCCATTGAGACTGGAACAGGGCATCCGCCAAGTTGTGGCAGTCCTCCGTGAGGTAGTTGCAGAGAATGCAGAAAGGTGTGGTCTCCAGCAACACTGCGGCCATGAAGGAGAGTGCGGCAATGGCAGAGCCCAGATTGGCGAACAGCACGATGTTGATCAGGGTGAAGCCCAGCACCAGACCCACCACTAGGAACTGCACGAAGATGGTGCCCGATATCACGGGGCGCAGGCAGTCTACAAAACTGAAAAACCACACACGAATTTTAGATCCGTAACGTCTTTGATGTCTCTTTACACACCGCAGGATAACCTTGTGGTCTTCAATGCACTGAACCAGTTTTTGGTACCGCTGCTCCTGGTTTTCCACTGGATCCGTTCCCAGATGGCGGAGGCGTTCGGCAAAGATGGACATGTGGGCCCGCAGAACCAGAATGAAATTAACAGGATAGCAATCCACGCAGACGTCCTGAAAGCAGGCGCCTGCCATGGCAAAGTACTCTAGGCCGGCCTGCATTCCGAGATGCCAGTTACTGGAACGCCAGTCTAGGTAGGGATAGTAGTTCTGATAGGGCGGCCTACCGATAGCAATCGCCGAGAGAAATGTGTTCGTTGCATACACCATGTACACGGTCATGAAGAAAAAGAATATCCGGTTGCTGCTTGAGACTGCGCGATGGACCTGCAGTCGCTCGGAAGGCTGCGTCAGACGCTTGTCCATCGCATCGAGAATGATGTTGGCCTCATCGAACCTCTTGACCAACACCCACACAATTAGTACCTTGGTGGAGCAGGACCAAGCGTTGAAGGCCACTTGCAGGGAAGTGAGGAACTCTCCCGGCGAAAATTCCGACAGATGGCTGATGTAGCCTGTTAGAAAGCCTATGGGCTGGTAGAAGGTGGAGCAGAGGTTAAGTGCGAAGGACCACGCCACGTAGGCCAGAAAGAACTTGGCCGGAGGCTTCCGCACGCCCATAAGAAAGATGCATCGCAGTAAGTAGAGGGTCGCGTCCCGGGAGCGGGCCGGATCATCCTCCGACCGAATGTACATCGCTGGAAAGATTCTGCGTAGCTTTCGCATAGTTCAGGTCTATGTTTCAACTATGGATCCTTGATTATCCATCGTCCCTTTTATAGGGGAAACCGTAGCGTGATTATAAACTCATCAATGTGATTTGACTTTGATAATTTATAAACCACAGAAAAAGGTTGGTACCAATCAATTAGGGCGACGTTACCATGGCCCCTCAGCTCTTCCACAGTCTGCCACCAGGATTTTTCGACTCTCTTTGCCGTTTAGGGCTAAAGCAGTGCAGGGGTCTTGGTGTGGCCACGAGGCCGACCCTGATTCGCCTTACAGAACAGCCAGCACGTAATGCTGCCCAAAAGTGTAAAAGTTTACACTTCCATATAAATAACTGATGACCTATCGGCCAGCAGTCTGTAACAGTTCACAGTGAAAAAAGAACTATATTTTATCGCTCAATAATGCAATGATTGTGTAAGCAATCAAAGGTATTTCACAAGAACCTATCAAATTTACGACAATTAAAATTTTATTAAACTTTTTTTCGTGTTAAAAACTATATTTATCTCAATTTGTCAAAGGTATCATAAATATGTCTTTCATTGGAAATATCATTGGGTTGTTTATAACAAAAAGGGTCTCAGCTGCTGCATGGAATTTTAATTAGCAAACTCTGACAGTCTCAAACGGAGTCTTAAAGGGAAAGTGACCCACACTTAAATAAGTTTTTAATTAAATGCTTTAAGTCTCTTAGCATCAGCTGAAATGAAAGGCTTTGTTTCTGCGACTTTTATCACCAGGTTTTATTTCGATTTCGGGTAAAATAATTAAGTTAAATTTTTTAGAACTCAAATATAGTTTTTTTGTTATTATTTATAATGATAAATATTGGTAAACCGGTGTTTACCTGCTTGAGAATCGAATTTTTTTGAGAAATTTCAGTTTTCAGTTTTTTCAGTTGCTTAGCGTGTGCTGCGGTATACATATGTATTTGGAAGGGAATTATTAATTTGTTTAAATTCAATTCCAAGCATAGCTCAGCTCTGGTTCTTCCCCCTCTTATCTCTATTTCTGAATTTTTCATTTGAACTTCCCAAAGCTCCCGCTTTGGCTTCCTATTTGGCCCAGTGGTTCAAGGTAAAGTGTGTTTTAACTTTTTAAATATTATTTTTGTATTGTTAATTAATAATATGGAATTTAAACTGGTCTTTTCTATGAAGTCTTGTAACAAGACAATCTCCTCATCACAGCCTACCATCCATTGCTGGCTATGTGAAAACGTTGTACACGCCAAGTGTGCCGGGTTCACTGCCTCAGTTTCGGATGCCATTTCCCGTAGGTCTGGGATACAATATTGTTGTGAAAATTGTCGTGCTGTCCAAGGCGAAATGAGGTCGTTCATGAGACAGACCAAAAATGGATTTAAAGAGTTGATCACTGGTTTTCGTAAAGTCAATGACCTCTGCGCGCTTGACACTTAGTTTATCAGCCTTCAGCTACTAACGGAGTCTCCTAAGCGTAAGAAATCCGCTGTTCGTGATCCGCCTCAGTCTACTTAGCCGTCAATACCGCAGCCGCTCATATCTTTTGCCACCCCAAGGGCTAAAACTGAGAACAATTCGCCGTCCGAATTTCTCAAGGAAAGTGAGCAATTGTCTGATATGTCCTCCGTGGTATCCCTTCAAGTGATACCACAGGTCCAAGTAAATGAAACCTCCGCCAGAGTTACCCAAAAGGGTATTCCACAGTCTGGACCCCCGCACCGACTGATGCTGCAGTTCTCGTACCTGCGACACCAAAACCCTTACAGGTGATTCCTCCATCAAAACATATATTTGTTTCTAGGCTTGCCCCTTATACTTCAGAGATTGATATCTCGGCTGATATCAAAGCCAAAACTAAAGCCGATATAAAGGTGGAAGACATAGCGAAATTTAAACATAAATTTGTAAGGCGCACGTCTTCTTTCAAGATTCGTGTGCCTGCGCTGACGTTCAAGACGATTTGTTCACCCAGTTTTTGGACAGAGAACATTTTCGTAAAACTAGTATCGTCACTAACCCTTACCTATAAGAATACTAGGGGGTTACGTAGCAAACTCCCCAAACTATATTCTGAAAGTTTTTCTTTGCATCCCATATTATATCCTTTCCAGAAACTTGGTCAAAGCCGGAGATCTTTAGCTCCGAAGTTTTTCAAAGTAAGTACACAACTTTTAAACGGGATCGACCTTAGCGAAGGGGGGGTGGAGTCCTCATTTCGGTAGACTCCACTCTTGCTTCTGAAGAGGTGAAATCACAAGAGTTTGGTAATACAGTCGAATCCCGATAATTCGTACCCCGCTAAATCAAATCAAAAATAATTTATTTGCATTCAAACTCGTTAATTCGTAAAAATTCCATACATTTTGGTCCCCTCGTTAATTCGTAGCATTTGGCGCAACGCAAAGAATATTGAACCTCTTATAAATCGTAATTTTGTTTCCTAACCTCTTATAAATCGTAATGCAATGCGAAATTTTTTGTAGTTAAAGCACCGTTAGATTTTGCAGACAGCTATGCCGCCTTTATGTCGCTATGCATTATGAATTTTTTGTTTCTCTCACTGTTTTCGGTTAGTTTGCTGTTACCAATTATTGTTACCAAAAATTAACAATTATTTTAAAGCTTGAATTTTTGTTTTTTATAATTTAATGTTTCTGCTTAATTTTTTATTAGTACAATTTTATGTTATTGTTTAATTTTTCCCTTATTTGAAAAACGTACAAATGAATATACATACTTATAATATGTGTTTAATTTAAATAAAGTTAAATACATATGTAAACATGATGTGAAATGTAAAAGTCCCGTTTATTCGACTCTTTCATTTTTGAGCCCCGTTAAATAGAAATCTCGATAAATTGAATTTCCGTCTAATTTGTAAAAAAAGTTATCCACTTGCCCTTTCGAATTATCGGGACTCGACTGTGTATAATTTATTTGCATTCAAATTATTTTGTCCGCGGAATCTTTATACATTACTTGTTCATATATACCGCCTTCGACTGAACCGCCCACATATTGGCAGCATTTGTCCGCTATTCAACCCGTTTTTGATCTTATGGCTAATCGTGACCACCTCGTCGCTGTGAGCGACTTTAATATCCCAGAATTAAAGTGGTCCAACGTCTTTAACTCACCATCTTTATCCCTTATCACGCACCATGACTTCACCGCGGGAATTTTTGATATGTCCCTAGACCAAATTAATCATTTCATTAATCATTAGAAATTCGTTAGGTCGGCTTTTAGACTTATGCTTTATATCTGATCCCGATGGTACCGCTCTCTCCAGAGCTTTCCCCCTTTCAACCCCATAGGATCCATATCACCTTACGCTACAGGTCTCAATCAAAACCATTTCTGGTATCGATCAGATGTCTCCATGCGTGGCAAATAAGATTTGCTGCTTCCGTAAAGCTGATTTTCACAAACTTAATAGCCTTAGCGATACATATGATTGGTCCGATATTCTGGTGTGCCATGGAAATATCCGTCCGCTTTAACAAATCCTCCTTGGTTTACAAGGAGCCTTACAATCCTTAAAAATACTGAAAATAGGCTCTTACTTAAATATAAAAAAACATGCAGTAGTATTGATTTCCCAAGATATCTACTAGCTCGGTCAAATTTTCCGTGCATAACGCTGAATGTTACAGGAATTATATTCGCCGCTGCCGGATACAATTTAGTCAGGATTCAAAGCAGTTTTATAATTTTGTAAACACAAAGCGTAAATATGAATCTTTTCCACCTCTGCTTACGTTTGAAAATTCATCTGCGACCTCTGATCAGGCCATTGCCGATCTATTCGCAGAATTTTTTCAAACAACTTGTTCTCCACCTAAGTTAACAGATCAGTCTTACGCATACAACATTCAATCAGCAAATCTTATTTTCTGTCCGTTTTTCTCCGAAAAAAGCTTATTATCGGAGTTATTACCTGGATTGATTACCAGGCTGTGTGGTAAAATACTGTGCCAGGGCTCTGTGCAAACCTCTTCTAAGACTTTTCAACTTTTCTTTGGAAACCTCCATTTTTCCCCTTAAGTGGAAGGAATCTTTCATAATTCCCTTACATAAAAAAATGAAAAAGTCCGATGCTGCCAATTACAGAGGGATCTCTTAATTGTCGGCAATTCCAAAGTTATTTGAAAAATTAGTTACTCCTCATTTGCAACACATTTGCTCTGCGATCATCTCTCGATCATGGCTTTATTAAGCGTAGCTCCACCACCGCGAACTTATTGGAGTTGACATCCATCCATCGTCATAGATGGCTTTCGGAAGAGATAAAAAAAACCGATATAGTTTACTCAATCTCCTTGTCAGGACAGCTTGTCAGGACTAACTCCTCGTAGCTTAATAAATTACAAATAGCTTAATATATACTATTTTATCGTTTCTCGAGCGCCCCTCAGTCGTCTGGGCCTCTAAGCTTTATGATGAAGACAGGAATGCTAGCTGATACTCTATTCGATGCTCAAGCCATTTCTAATTCAGAAAGACCGCAAAAAAAAAAAATAAAAAAATATATATTCTTTCATAGATTGATTCATATATTTTACTTTAAATGTCTAGTTTTCAAACATTTTTGTATTCGTTTTTGGATGATTTGCGAGATTTTGATCATTCCCCTACTACAAAATGCTTTGTCTACTATATATTTCAAAGCCTACTGTATTATTTATATCACTGTATTTACCGTATTTATGACATAGCAGAAAAAAAAACAAGAAAGGAAAGCTAAATACCCTTGCAGTTAAAACCGTATATATATCGCAAACGTCGGATATAGTCTGCCGATCCTTATGAGAATATGATTATATAGCCCAATTTATTATAATAAAAAATCTAAAAAAAAGTCCCAAACTTTTATCTTAAACAAGAAAGGAAAGCTAACTTCGGGCGGAGCCGAAGTTTATATACCCTTGCAGTTTAAACCGGATATATATCGCAAACATCGGATATAGTTAGAGCCGATCCTTATGGGAATATGAATATACATATAATCCAATTTATTACAATACAAAATCTAAAAAAAGTCTCAAGCTTCTATCTTCAAAAATACCAAAGTTGGTATTTCTACCAAAAACCATTTCCGATCGTTCAGTTATATGGCAGCTATAAGATATAGTCGGCCGACCGTTATGAAATTTAGTATGAGTATGAGTTAGAGAGTTCAAATTTTGTATGAATTATACTTTTTGGAAATGGTCGGAAATGGTTTTTGGTAGAAATACCAACTTTGGTATTTTTATACCCTTGCAGAGGGTATTATAATTTACCATTTACCATTTTGTCTTGTTTATTCAAGATTAATGAGACAACATTAGTGTGTTTCAAAATTGATACCAGTTTTACCCAAAAAAATGGCGTCAAAGTCCGAAAATATGAAAAAAATTCCATAATGTCAGTTTCTTGTGTAAAAATTGTATCCTTTTTGTGTTAAAAAATTGAAAGTCCCTTTTTTTCAAAAGCTACATTATTTAACTATTGAAAAACGACGGAAATTTTAAAATCGGCGTAAAATTACGCGTTTACGAATTTTTAAGAGAAAAAATGTCCCTAAAACCCGTTTTTTCTAAATAAATCAAGATTTTGAGGGTGTTAGAAATATTTCAAACACGGTTTTGTAATATATTCGACCTAATAAACAATTCCTGCTAGGTCTCTATTATTAAGTTTATTATTATTATTTAAATTGATTTTATGATTTTAAATGTAGAGTTTAATTGTATTCATCGAATTACTTTGTTTACTTTTTATGTAACTTTTTGTTGAATTTTGACCAGACAAAAATACCTCATTTTACAAATCACGAAAATAATGTATGTCCCATAAACAGGGGTTATTTCTATATCGCTTTTTCAAGATATCGGTATTTCCATAGCATAAATATAGTAATAGTCTCTGACATCGACACTTTCATACGAACATGACTATATCGTATCGGCTGTTGATGCTGATCAAGAATACTTATATATGTATGTATGTATACTTTATGGAGTCGAAATGATGAGAGAAGGCTCTAGTTACATACATTAACATCATCACATTAATGCAATATACCCTTGTACTACCTTGTATTAGCGGGTAAAAAATATGGACGTTTTTACGGAAAATGAAACTCAACTCTAGATTAAATCGTTTAATATTATACCCTCTCAGAGGCCAAAAGTGTGGAACGCAGTGAACGAGACATCTCCCACCCCATTAAGTATATATTATTAAATATTATACAGTAATTTATAATCTTTGATACTATATATACATTCTGGATCATCATTACCTCTAGGATTCTATATAATAATTAGCATCAGTTTCTATTCAAAATATTTTCTTAGCTGAAAAGTTATGTACTCGAAAGTTTGCACACGTAATGGAAATGTAAAGTTTCCTTTGTAATTTGCTGTTTTTAAGCAAGAGTTTCTTTAGGACTTTCCTCAGATTCCATTTTTTCTCAACTGATCCGATATACAAATTTTCTGAGGGTTCGCCCGAATACAGCCTATTGCTTCTATAACTATAACTATAATTGATCGGAAATGCCATAAAGTTACCAGTCACAGCTTATGGCTGTCCAGTAAATGCTTGGGATTTGAAAAATTCGTACTGTAATTATTATTATATTTCAAACTATAACCAATATCCTACAATATGTTTATCTTATAACACACTCATCCTAAACGCCTTAGCTTGCACCCGAAGCTTGCTTTCCTTTCTTATTATTATTATTACCGCGGCTGGCACTTACCCCCTCCAGTCGTGAAGGGAAGCTCTACTCGCAGTAGGTGCCAAATTTCATTTCCATGGAAAGAAAACTCATTTACATTTGAAGGCCTGGCAACCATCCGTTGTGCGGCCAAAGAAGGGCGGTTACGTTGATGTTATTCACCTGAGCTTTGCCAAATCACTCATAACAAAATCAACAAACAGTCTGGACTGGGACCTCAGTCGACTTCGACTTCAGTACGAAAGATCTCGGAGTCGTTTGACTTCAAAGCAAGCAATCTGGGAATCTAATTTTTCACAGCTCCCTTTAGCAAGATGCCACGGCGGTGTGGCTGGTGCCGCGTGTCGCGCGACTGCGTCCTGCACATCAATGTGGTGTTAATTGTGATAGGGCTGATTTTTATGTTAGACGTGTTTAGCCACCTTTATCTGCGGTCGACCATGTTCCCCGACATTCGTCTATACCCGGTGGTGATACGGGGTTGGCTGTTCTGGATTCGTGGATTGACGATGCTCTCCTACATATCGGAAGCTATCCTGGGCATTTGTATGGCCAAGCAACCTAGCCTTATTAAGTACGGAAGCTACATACTGGTTGGTCTCGTAGTGCTCCTTTACACTGTAAGCATTGCGGTGACCCGCTTCATGTACCGCGACAGATTCGAATACTTCGCCCATTTGCTCGTCTACCAAATGTGGCTGAAGAGAACCCTAGGAAAGATTGAGGCCGAATTCAGTTGCTGTGGCATGGTGGGAGTAATCGACTACCAGACACCGTCTGCAAATCGCACTTGGGACAGTGGCTCTTGTTGCAGCGAGCCGAATTGCCCCGGTTGCAATCCCAAGGTTGAGGAGTACCTATGGACTATTGAGATGGATGTGGCACGCGACAACATAATCGTGTCAGTATTTTTGGCGTTGGGCATGATCGTCATGCTAATGCATTTTCATGATGTCAATTTTCACGAGGACCCATTCGAGGATGATTCCGTGGATACTACTGAAGCTACTGAGGAGGAAAAGAATATTTTGTTTGGAGAGGAGCCCTCACAGCCTTCGGACCGTAACAGTGATTATTGGAGAAAGTAATGACTCTTGCCTGTTCTGGTCAATTGAACTTTAATTCATTATGGACCCCATTCCCCTATTTCCAACTCTTGTTTATTCTTTTATATGTGGGGTTGTCGGCTAACTTGTTGTGGCCCATTAATTAGGATGCTAGAACGACCCCGGAATCCTCCATCCTCTATGCATTGGCTACACTTATTTTCGTACTTAAGAAAATGCCATTAAATAATATATAATGACTTCGATTTCAGTCTTAAAAGGAACAATTAAATATGCTTTTATAGCTTTAGCTGCATTTATATGACTCACTCCTAAGCCTAAAAAAAACTCTTCATTAAATACCATTAAAATTTTCCCACAACTTTTCTTATATGTATCATTGAACCAGTAAATAAAGTGTTTTTCTCGTCTTCAATCTTACCGCTTTGACTCAATCGTAGAAGCCGTGACCTTGTCACGTTTAAAAAAATCTTTGAACAAGTTGTGCAATTTCTATTCCCCATCTAAGACCTAATAGGAAATTAGCTGAAATTATTTCCTTTAAATAAATCCTTTTATTAAAAGATAACTTTTTTGTCGGTTTTTAGTCTTTTTAGTCTTTAGTCTTGTAGAGACTAAAATTAAACTAAACATATTAATAATTAATTGTATAATTTCATTTAATGACCAGCAATAAAATGAAAACTAATATAAAATAGAGGACCGAAGAGGTGATCGATATATAGACAAGGACAAGATATAGTATATAATATAGTCCGCAATCTTGAATTAAATGGCAAAATTTCATTATTTTGGGATTTTTAAAATACAACTTATAATGAATACGGTCCCAAGTTAGAATTATCTGACAAAAGAACACTGCCTAATTATATAAAATTACACTTTTAAATGTCATATAAATGCTACTCCGTAAACGGTTTCAAGAAGCCACCCAACCAATCTTTCAAAAGCTTCGCCCGCCTAAAGAATCAATTCTCAGAAACTAAGATCCTTTAGAAGTAGAGCCCAGTAAAAACTGTTCTAGGAACAAACAAAATCTAATTTTTATGAACTACATTTTTCTTTAAGGGGAGGGTAAGGTATTACATTTTTTTTTTTTCAATTTTTTTTTTATTTTTTAAATTGAACGCTGTCGAGTGAAGAATATTGTGTCAAAATTTCAAGTCAAATTAAACAAAATTGACGAAGTTATTAGTTATTGACAAAGTTGCTTATAAACGTTTTACACTGGATTACACTGGTGTTTAAAACTTTAAAGCGTTTTTCCCACAACTCACGTTTTCTAAGTCGGTGCCCCTCATAACTTCAAAACTACTGCACCGATCCTTTTGAAATTTTAAACACTATTTCTGTACATATTTTACGAGGTAACGCTGTCGAGTTTTTTTGTTTTTTGTTCATAATTTTGATTTTGCAATGACAAATTAACCGATTTTTTCCCAAAAAATTGAGTTTTTCACTTCAAAGTCTTCGAAAAAATTAAAAAAAATTGCAATTTTCAAAAAACCTTTACAGCGTTACCTGGGGCGAACTATTATCTAACGGATGAATTTTAATTTTTTGATTACAAATGATCCAGCACCGAGTTATGAGGGGCACCGCAATTCAACTTTTTTTGGCGACACGTCCGGACAATTGCTACCATTGCCATATTTTTAAATATTTTTTTTGTAAAAATTTTATAAAACATTCTTCTAATGTCATTCTTTAATATACCGTTGGTTGAATAAATAAATTTTAACTGTGTCGTCAGGAAAAAAATCACAAAAACATGGCTATTTTCGCATGATTTGACTTTACCCTCCCCTTAACGCTGACAGACGATTTTAGCCATTCACTTTAACATTCGCTTTTTACTCGGACTTGGGAGGAATGTTCAGCTACGGCAGGGGAAATAAAAAAGTGGCTTGAACTGGGAGGTAGGACCGGAAAAGTGCACGGCAGTGCTTCCGTTGCGGTTTGTCTAAAGGAAGCTCCACCGAAAAATAAACAGCCAGAAAGGATGCGAAATGTAACGGAAGTGCGCGAAATTTTTGCACATTTTACCAACGACTCTCCTGCCCCCGCCCTGTCCAGCTATTAAGCCAGCTGCACATTTGACGGAGGAGCGGTTGGAAGGCAAGAGCGACGGGTTGCTGAATGGTTGGGTGAATTGACAGTTTGGGGGTAGAGTGCTCTCGCGGGTGGATGGACGTTGTAAGAAGGTTTAATGATGTCAACGTTTATGACAGTTGGCTTGAAGATTTTTCAATAGTTTGACAGTTGCCCTTTTCGTGATCAAGATCTAAACTCAGTAAACGGAAGGAAGTTGAATCAGAGAAATCCAAGACGTATTTAAAGACGATAAACAAAGAAAGCCCTATTTTTAAGGGTGATCCAAAATAAAACTTTCAGTTCCTTCTGCTTTAAAAAACCCTTCTGTGCTAAGAGTAATAAATAAAACTATAAAACTCCAATCAGTTCATTTTCTAAACTAATTTTGTCAAACTTAAATTGCGAACTACTTATCAGCATAATGTGCCGCTTTAAATATTTTTACCAAAGAATGTTTTGGCGTAAACCAAAGTGCTCTTGTTTTTAGACTTTTACATAGGGTTGATTTCAGTATTATTGACCAAAAAATCAAATTAAAGGCTTACATTTTCCAATTACTATGACTTAATATTTTTTGTTTTGGCAGTTTTCCTGAAAAGTAATCATACCCTCGGAAAAATATACACAGTGTGACATGGTTTATGGATGGGTCTTTAAATGTAATAGGTACAAGATATAAAATGTATGCTCATATAAGGTATAGCGATTATTTCTTCAACGCAAGCCACTATTCAGACCATCCAAATACATTTATGCCTCTTTATTTGATTTGATTTCATATGGCTGGCTCTATATCAGGTTGTAGAGATGTGAAAAGTAATTGATCCGTCTAGATCCAGGCCATTGTCCCAAATTGTAGGTCATAAATAAGCAACGTTCCGGCAGTTCCATTTCGAAATACGTATTTTGTATGTATTTGACGTACGCCATGTTACAGCGTCAGTGGTGCGTGCATGTTTTTGTGTGCTCATTATAGTTGCCACAAGGTCAGATTTTGTCACTAAATGCTAGAACCCACCTTTCTATAGCCCACATTCTGTTTTTGGAAGTGGTTGCCATTCTGATATATCCTTCTATTTGGTTTACGACACTCAATTCGTTGGCGTTTTGGGGTTGTTTTAAATGCTATTAGCCAAACAGACATACACTGCCAACAACTGAAACAGACTGCCGATCAACTGAATAGGTTCACATAAATTTGCTTGCATTTTTATTATTTTTTTTCACAAATTGACCGTAAAAATATTGGACGAAGACAAAATGTTGTAAATTATACACGTAAAGATAAATTATTCACGTAAACCTTCAAGACTGCTCTTTACTCACACTGCTCACATAATCTGGACGAGCCAATGGCAAAAATGTTTTCCGATAAAAAAAAATTTAATTTAGACGGCCTTGATGGATACAATTCTTATTATCACGATCTTCGAAAGGAAGAGCATTTTCTGAGCCGTAGCCGTAGCTGTGAGGGAGGGTGACCATTGTCTGGGGGTCGGTATCCGATTTTGGCACTTTCGACCTGCAATGTGTTACTTTCAACATGAACGTGGAATCGTACAAATCTATATATACATATTATATATGTAGAATGCGTTTCTACATTATTCCAATGTTATTGGAATAATGTAGACTTACCAGTAAGATAACGCTCCTATTCATACAGCCAGGGTGGTAAAAGTGTGGATTAAGTCTCAAAAAACGCGGATTCACTCATTATTAGAATTTTTAAAATTTGCTTTTTGTCTTAACCAACTTATATAACTTGAATTTTTTTAGGTTTAACCTATTCAGATGAATGAAAAAAATCATTGATTTTGTTAGCCTTTTAGAAAAATAAATATACATGGAATTAATAAAATGTTTTCGAAAAAAATTCTTCAGCATTTTATTATACCCTTGCAGAGGGTATTATAATTTTGTCCAATATTATAGCATGTTCGCCAACATGCTCGGCTGTGGATGGGCCCCTTAAGTCTCTCAGCCTTAAAGCTTTGCTCACACCCAGCTTTTCTTTGCACGCAGTATATACATATATGGTAAGTCGGAACGGCGGGAATCGGCTGACTATATATTCTATAGCTGCCATAAAACTCATTGATCGAAAATTCTAGAAATTCAATATCATTATCAATAACAATTGAATAGGCTTAAGCCAAACGCACACTGCGTCCACTGTCGAAAGCTTTCGAGCTGGCTGCTGCGCTGTGAATAAAATATATATGTGTATGCACACCAAAACAATAAACTTTTTTCTTATTTTTTTCCTGGGCGGACTGCCATCACTTGCCATCACTGCTGTACTATCCTGGGTGATTTCCCTGCTATACACTTAACACTTATCTCCCTTTACAGTTCTCTCTAAATCTTAAAGCTATCCCTCTCGTCCCTCTCATTTGTGTTCAATTAACTCTCTGGAGAACATGCGGGAGGTATGCTCCATCCAGTGTTGCCAGGTATTGAGCTCGCAAATAGGCTAGATTTTGGGTAAAAATAGGCTAGAATAGGCTAAAATTCAGAAAAATATCTGAAAAATAAGCTATATATTCAAATCTAATAATATCTACCACATTAAAGTAATTTTCATGTTTTTATTATATTAAACACGTTAACAAACTTTCAATATCGTCGTTCTCCCCGTCATTCAAATAGCCTCCACGTCAGGCTATTTACAAATTTTATAGGCTATATCATTTTAAAATAGGCTAGATCTAGCCTGAAATAGGCTAAAATGGCAACACTGGCTCCATCACCTCACTACCGCGAAACTCCACCCCGTGCTATTACCCTTTTCGCTTTATCCGAACGAGGCTCCCTCAAGGACTCCGGCGGTGTCGCTTAAACCTTCATTAACCACGGATTACAACATGGGACACAAATACAATATAATTTTTTCCTGATTAACAACAAGAATTTTATCGCCGTCACGAAGGCCAACCTCCCTGCATCCACACCATTCTACCGCGTCTTCATTGCCTGTGGATCGCGGACTAATCCAGTCCCGGAGCTTTGCCTCTTTTTTGCCTAGGTGATATTTTTTTGGGAGCGATGTTACAAGCCTAGTTAAAAAGTATGCGGACTTATTAACCTCCTCTCTTATATTTTGTTTAAGGATGTAGTCTCATGTGTGAGGTTGAAAAAATCGATTTTTTTTTCACATATTTCGATAGTATTGTTTATTAGTCAACGAATGGACTACCTTATATAATTGTATCATGGAATATACTGTTAAAGTTTCAAATAAAAATATCAAATAATGACAGATCG